CAATCAGTCAGTCGGATGCAACGTAGAACTTTGTACGTAAGTACATCAGTTCATGTTGCCATACCACATCAGCACAGAGATGTAATTGTCAATTCAAATCCAATAGTAGACGAGGTTGTAAACGTATTAGAAGTAATCGGAGAGGTTAGGATTAAAAGATATTATTCAAGTAGTATGAACAACAAGGATTGGAATAAAAAATTAATTAATTATAATTAGATTTTGTTTAAAACTCTAAGAAAAAACAATTGTGGGAAATTGAAAAAAAAATATGATTGACTGAATTGTTTAAAAGTTGTCCTCCATATTTGTTTTTTGAATGTACTGCTTTTTGAAGTGAATAATTATTTTGTGGAGCATGATGAGTGACTCCAACTCGGACTAATGATTAAATATGCTATGAAAGAAATCTTCTTTTTAATTTCCATACAACATTCTCAGATGAACCTAGTTTGTGTGACGATGTTGGATAAGAAGCCGAATACAGATTCAGTTGGATGAGTTTATTGCCGGCAATCATTGTTCATACAGATAGACATGAGAATGTAAGACGTAAAAGCAAAGCAAAGTGGAGAAGTTGAATGAGAGACAACTCAATGCGTTCGTTATTTACAGTCAGACAAAAATTCATTTCATTCAGGTGACACTAATTTGACCTGATAAAATTATTTTGAAGATATTCATTGTGAAGGTTTTACTCTAATATACATGCATATTGATTTGAAAATGTCAAACCAAATCAAGAAAATTTATTATGAGTTCATAAACACAATGAAATAGATTACGTAAGTAGTACACATAACAGGTAAGGTATTAATTGTTAGTAGAACACAAGTGTACAAATAGTAGTAAGAATAATAAAGTACAATAACAACAGCTGTTGCCAAAATCGTTAAACATTGGAAGTAGTAGTAGGTCAAACGTGAATAAACAATTTTAATATAACCACCACAAAACATAATAACAATTACGTAATAAGTGTGTCAGTCAGTTACAACGTAGAACTTTGTACGCGCGTACATTAGTTCACGTTGCCATACCGCATTAGTACAGAGACTCAACTGTCAGTTCAAATCCCATAGTGGTAGAGATAGTGGAAGTATTAGCGGTCGGTGGTCGGGCATTCGCATTACATGTCCCAACAGCCTCAACTGCCATACTTATTTAGAACTCATTTCCTAATGACAGGATTGCTCACTCGGTTGTCCCACGATATACGAGCAATGCTTCTAAGACATCGATGATCGAATACTAGTAGCATACGAATATCTTCTACTCTTACTAGCCAAGTTTCACAGCCATATAGGAGAACGGAGCGAACTGCTGCACAGTACACTCATCCTGTAGTCAACAAACGGATATCTCATCTACGCTATAAATGATGTAGGTTAGCCAAAAGCCAATCGAACCTTCTGTATCTATACTGAGGTCTTGTCAGTCACCAGGCCATCAGCACTGATGAGACTCCCTAGATAAATGAACCAGTCGACATGCTCAACTGCTTCACTCTCAATCACTAGTTCAGGTGCAAGCCAAGTCTGAAGCAATGTTTCGCATCTCGAGGAGGAAAATCGCATCCCGGATATGTTTGCATTGTTGCTTAGGGTAATCAGAAGACTCTGTATTTTGTCAGTGTCTTCACCGAATAGAACTATGTCATCGGCATATACTAAGTCAAAAAGCATGTCCTCTGGTAGAATGTCGACTCCTGTTAAGTCAGACGACGAAGTGTGTACATAATAATTAGATTTAACTTTTTTTTAAAAGGAAACGAATATATAAATCTTCAGTGACTTCAACACTAATACCATGAGATTTCAATCTGGCAATCCCATCTCTCTATGCTAACTGCACCTACATTCCCTCTGCGGCTATTGTCGGTTCCAAGCACGGATAAAGAAGGAGGGTTGGGTGTGGTATTAGCGGCCCCATCCAACAGAAAACTAACTGGCTAAAAAAACGCTAACCAAGAAAAATGCTAATTGGTGTATGCAAACTGGAATTAATAGACATGCATACAGTCTAGATATTTAACTAAATTAGAGGTCGAACATCAATAATATTCAGCGTCAGTGATTGATATAAATAAGAATGAAACAAATAAATATTATAATATTTGTGTTAAATTCTGCACTAAAATACTAAATGAGTAAAAAAATTACATTGAAGCAGGATTTAAACCTTTAATTTCACGCGCGAACGCTTAACCTGAGCCGGCATCTAACGATGGTAACTTTGGTCAATCTAAGGTTTCGCGTGACCTGACTCATTGTCTTCAGGGAGTAACTGCCTACAGCCGACAGAATTGAACTCAGGTGATCACACCTTCTCATTAGAAATCCGAGAATTTCCTCACGAAGCTAGTCAGTAGTGAGCACTTTGTGACCCTGTCGAGTGTAGGCCCTAACTATCGAAGACAATGGATGAGGTTACATAAAACCTTATATTGATCAAAGCTAGATATGAACACTGTTGGATGCCTGCTCAGTGGTGTTAAGGTTAAGCGTTTGCGCGCTACACTTACAGGCGTGGGTTCGATTCCCGCAAGTGAGGGTCATGGATGCGCACTACTGATGAGTCCTATACTTTAGAATGAACTGGCCATCTACATTGCTTGCAGTTTTCTAATTGTAGTCTAACAATGATTGATTCATGATTTCCATGTAAAATAATTAACTTTATAACTCTGTAATAAAAATAAAAATTTGTAAAAATTCTTTGTGTTCAGTATTATTTATTCACTTGTTAATGTAAAATTTGATTAAGTCACCATAGGCTTATAAATATACATCTCTATATATATATACATAAGAAATAATCTATAAAATCACAGAATGAACGCAATAAATTAATTCTGTGAAGGTTATCTATCCCATGAAGGTCAAGATAAGTTCAAGGTTAGTTATAAAAGTGACAACATTAAACTCCGATTGGCCGAAAAATTTTCCAACCTCTAAAACTATGAAAGGGGAGAGGAGTTCGACTGATAATGCTTTGTTTTGTTTGTCTAATTGGTAAATATTTTCTTTGTTTTCATGATAAAAAAATAAACTTTTTTAATTTGATAAATTTTCATATATATATATAATTCATGAATAAATCCATTTCATTTTTTGAATAAATAATGATAGCTGGATAGAAAAAAAATATTGTATGTGTAATGATGACAGATGAAGTAGAGTATGATCATAGTGTAATAAATAAGGACGTCAATAACAGGTGGAATAATGATAGAAGACATCGCTTATTGACAAGAAAATACGTACACCTAATCTCATGAGTTTTATTTGAAAAGTAAACAGACTATACTGATTGTCTTCCCGTTCACATGCCTTCTGGTGTCTACAAAACACATTAATCGCGCTATACATTCCAAATTGACACTCTTCTATCCAATAGTAGTAACTTATGGAAGACATTCCAGTGCACACTACTTAGAGCCCATGTTGAGAGTAGTATCTGCGACATTATATTTACATTGTTTTAATGCAGAACATAATCCGATGGATTTTTATGTTTATCAAAATTTTTACAATTTCGAGATTTCATATGTATGGTTTTCAGTTATATACAGTTTTCATAAAAAATTGTATCATCTATGAAAATAGACATAGTAATTTCAGGGTGGAACGAATGCCCGGTTGAATATTCAGTGCTCTCATCACTCAAACTATTGTTTTGAATTTTAAAAGACATAAATCGGTGAAACGCTGTCAAAATTGTTCTCTTAGCAAAAAAACTGGAGTTAGTCGGTAGTCGGAAAATATGAAAACTGCAGTAACTAACCAGTAACTTAAATAAAAAAGAGATGTACTACTCTTAATCATGAATACACTTGTTCATCACCAAAATACAGGAGAATATGATATGTAAATATCAATGGCGACAACACTTCACCTGTCAGCAACTGAGAATATTCTGTAAATTTAAGCAAAAACTATTTGCTACTTTCATTGAAATCATGAACTAATCAATGTTGGATCATCATTAGAAACCTGGAAACATTAAATAGAGTTTCGTCTCACAGTATAGGACTCATCAGCCTATCACATGCATGACCCTGCAAGTGCGGATCGAACACGCACGTGAACGCTTAACTTCTTGACCACTAAAAGTTGGTATTTAATGCTGCCTAAATTCAATCAATGCACAATATTGTGCGAACACTATCAAATACATTGATTACTAAATTATTTTTTATGTTAACGGATTAAAACTTAATGTGGCAAATAGAATTTCTTTGAAGTCATTAATCGACCAGTAGTATAAGAGCATCATTAGATTTCTGGAAGCACTAGATGGCCATTCTGTCTTAGTGTGGGACTCATCAAGAGTGCACATCCAACACTATGATAGACTGAACGGCGTAAGAACCGATTGTTGGTCACCAGCAACCATGAGAATGCATTTTCTGATGTCATTCCATTGCTTTCTAGATTACACCTGTAGATCATCGATTGGCTCCGTAAGGAAACCAGTTGCTTCGATTGAGTCGACAAAGCAATGCTCCAATTGACTCACAAATTCAACAATGTACGTGCTGCACACAAATATTTAGGCGCCACTTTATACCAATGTTTAAATAATTCAGTATATATGAGAAGGCTGAGGCACACTCGATAGATTGTATTTGGCAAATTTACACTCTCAGTCAATTAAAAACGAAAACATTACATTGAACACTCTATTTGCACACCATCTTTGAGTCCTGATTTCCAACGCTCTAGCCTTCTTCCATTCCTGCTGTTGCTTCCTTTACTTCCTGTCGGTGCTCTATTTATTTCTTGCTTTTGCTCTATTTGCTTTCCGTTTTCCTCTTCTGACCGTGAGACTTCTTCTTTCACGTCCATTCTTATACTACTTATATCTTTCGTATAAGTAGCACACATATATATATATGTATATATATTTGAAATCGAAAAAGCTCATTGAATCGGATTAAAAATAAACTCTATTTCATCAAACAATAATATATATATTCGTTGAAATATATAATTTACCTCTTGTTCAATTGATGAATACTCATGTATTCGTTCGATGGAAACAATATTGGTTTCTAATTCTGAAAACATGCGTACAAGCCAATTCAAGGTTTGATTTAGACTTAATGCATAAGTAATGACAAGACCAGAGAAACCAGCTGATAAATAACCTTGTGCAACAACTGACAATATAGCTACAGCTAAAATCACTGAATTTCCGACCAATTCCAATAGGACTGCAAGCCATCTATATATATGTAAATATTGTAGAAATTGTTTTTAGGAAATAAGAATAATTACATTACATTATATATAAAATAATTGGGAAATTTTTAACTAAAACTTGAATTATTTCTCTTGCATTAAAAGCTTTTCTATGATATAATATACATCTACAATAGTAAAAATGAAAAGTAATAATCTCTTTTTACAATCAATCAAAAGTATGATAGTATGTTGTTTACTGAATATCTGTCATATTTTGAATATTGTTAAAGTGGATTCTAAGAAATTCCTCTTGAAACTATTCAGTAATGAGTACATCAATGTTGTTTTGAAGTTTTTTTTTTAAGGGAAACTGAATTCCTTTCGAGAAACACTGAAAATCAAGAACGATACTCGGTAATCATGTTCTCATAGTACGGGACTTTTGAACAGATAAATTGATAACACTATTAAGGATCTAATGAAAAGACTGACAATAAGTTCATACGTCCTATCAGGATGGTGGAGTTAACGTACGTCATTATTTTGAAATTAGGGTTTCCCATCTTTTGAGAGTAAAGTCTCCGTAAAAACACGCCAACCTGATTCAAGGCCATATTGGAGATTTGCTATTCATGTTCTCAATTTAATGAACAGCACAATTTCTGGCAGTGACTATAAACGAGAGGCTATGTGAGAGCATTTCGAAGGAGAGTGGATTCTCCCGACTCTCGGTTGTACCAGGGAATGTGGGGAGTCATTTCAAGTTGATAAAACGATTAAACAACTTTTGATCAATATATAAATGATATACAATAATATCACGTAGAAAAACAACATTGGTCAATAGAACATATTTTTACTTCTTGTAGGAAGAGACATACTCATATTATAAAATTATTTTTCATAAAATTAAATAGGAGCAATTGTTATACTTAAAGACTTAAGTGATTATTACATTTAAAATATTGGAATACGTTTAGTTAAAAAGAATAACTTAAATGAACATGAACCTGCACGTCACTGTAGGTATTAAAACTAGTGGCTACAATCAAATATACATCTCGTTAAATATTACAATCATCAGACCGTACTGAAGTAATCAGAATAGTCTGGAAGAAAGCTAGGAGTGGCCAGACTAAAACATGGCACAAATCCACGAAATCAGTGACAAGTGAACTGAGCCATGTTTTTTTTAAAAGTCAATTATAAATTAAGTCAAGATCAATGTACTGTGAATTCATGAATAAATTATTGCTAGACCATCATTAGAAATCTGGAAGCACTGGATGGCCGTTTCATCCTGGTATGGGACTACTCATCAGCAGTGCGCATCTACGACTCCAAAACAACTCACAGGATTTGAACCCAGGACCTTCGGTTTTGTGAGTGAACGCTTAACCTCCAAACCACTGAACCGGAATCCAACACTGTTATTCTTAAATTCTGATCAGTCTAAGGATTTTGCGCAACCTCACCCACTGTTTTCAGTAGATGTCTAACTGACAACATCCGATAGGGTTGAACTCCACTGGTCATTCATACCTTCTCACTAAAACTCCTAGAATTTACTCACGCAGCTAGTCACTAGTGAGCATTTGTTTTTTTATTTTGCACCACAGTATTATGGAGATCAATTTTTTTTTCACCTTGAAATCAATTTGCTTCAAGTATTTTTATTCCAAATAGATCCAAAATTCAGTAGATTATTAGATCAACGAAAGTAAAACTAATGCGTTTTATTCAAATATAAAATTTAGAAATGTGTAGATATTGTTGCTTACTTATTCACTAACTTTAATTTACAATGAATTAGTTAACATGGTTAATGGACTGGAACACACACGCACACACATTTGAATATAAATCATGAGAAAATGAATAGTTAATGAAAACATTGTAAAACATGTAAATAAGGTGATAGTAGTATTAGGTAATCAGTATGTAATTGACACATTTTCTAATTGTAAACAGTTAAGTAAGTTATATGATGTGTTTATAGTTGAAAGAGGCTTGTTACAAAGTTGAATACGCTGGCGAAAATAATTTCAAATAATTCGACAAAAAAAAAACACGATAAATGAGTTAAGCTCAGTGTCGTTAAGACCCTGAATCGATCATTGTTAAAACACTAGACGAAATTTTTTACTCCTGCACGTAAACACGTCAACTTGATATACTTGAGCTACTACGAGTTTACCTAGTCGGAAAACGAGAACAAGGATTCGGCGACACGACATGCTACTCAAATCCATTTTACCAACCCCTCATACTAAGTAAAAATAAGAAGGCTTGATATGAAGTAGAACCTGTATTCTACAAGCATCCAGAAAGTACGAGGTCCGAGTCCAGAAGAGAATCAGGATTCCGGACTAGGGATCCGGGACCGGGTCCTGGTCCTGGTCATAAAACGTTACAGATAATGCGTATATATATATATATTTTGGTCGAATAGGAAACAACATGGAAGTCTGTGACATTGACAGTTAGGACGACCATAAAATTGACCAGTAGGAATTAACCAATAGCAATAGACCAATAATTCTCTTAGGATATTGGATGAATATCCTAACAGTAATTTGTAAGCACTGGACTGCCGATTCGTCCTAGTATGGGGCGCTCTACAGCAGTGCGCAAACAGATTTCTTGTGAGCGGTAGAAATTCAACAACGTAGGAGCAATGAGGTTAGACAATAACACCATGCTGACTCAGTGGTCTAAGGGGTTAAGCGTTGGCGCACAACACCGCCGGCCCTGGGTTCGATTCCCACAAGCGAGGTCGTCAGTGCGCGCTGTATTCAGAACATCCATCACACAACACACAACAAAACATGTTGTATTAGAGAAAAAAATATTCGCAAACAAATAAGATGATCAATCATGTACATGAAAATAATATGAATGATTGATGAACTAACCGTTGTGATATAATTGAAGCATAAACAGCAGAATTATTTAAATCTTGTCTAGTTGAAATAATCTTTTTATACGTATCAATTAATTTATATGCTCGTATACTATCAACACCAGATAATGTTTCAGAGAAATGTGAAAATATCGGTGATAAACTAATTGATTCTAAACGTTTCAATTGTCTTGAAGTTGTAATATACAAATTCTAAAGAAAAATCAATAAATACATGAAAAAAGAGATAGTTACTAACTATTCAGGAATAAATATACCAAAGGGGCAACAAATTAATGATAATAAAAACTGCCGGTTTTTGGAGATTGTTGATTTACTGTGAAATCATGGACCGACCGATGTTAAAATAGGGGGATAAAGCGTTCGCTTGCGAAACCGAATGTCCTGCAGTCAATTCGTGCGAGTGGCAGGAATGGTGGATGCGCACTGTTGATAAGTCTCATACCAGGATGAAACAAAAGAAGTCTAAGAGGTTGGTTGCCAATCAAAGAATTCAGTGCGAACGAACAACTTTCCAAAACTACGGTAGTCAGTAACACAAGTTCGAATCACATGAACAGTATCAATTACCATAACAAACTTTTTTAACGAATGTTAATAATTTTTATTTGTAACCATGAATCGATCAATGTTAGACCACCATTAGAAACCTGGAAGCACTGGACGGCCGTTTCGTCCTGGTATGGGACTCATCAACGGTTAGGGCGTTTGCGCACAATACCGAAGGTCCCGGGTTCGAATCCTGCGGGATGCAGGAGTCGTGGATGCACACTGCCACTGATGAGTCCCATACCAGGACGAAACGGCCGTCCAGTGTTTCCAGGTTTCTAATGGTGGTCCAACATTGATCGATTCATGGTTACAAATAAAACTTAACAATCTTCACAACAACCTCGGAATGTTAATAAGTACGAAAATGAAGATAAGGCTTCATCACAGAGACGCAACTGTCAGTCTAAATCCCACACCACAAAGTAGAGCTTGTCAGGGTAGTCGGTGGTTAGGCATTCTTAACACTTGTCCCAACCACCTCAACTGATGGAAATTCACTACTTCAGGATAACTGTAGATCTTAGGAAACCAAGATGTGCCTGGAGGCCAATTGAACTGATCCGACTATGTAAACTCATTTTTCATTCAAATAATTCTTGTCTACAACAGTAATCAGTGAAATTAATAAGTCTAGATTCAGAAAATTTGTTGTTTAATGGAATATGGGATGTTTATAACTTGTTACAGAGCATCAAACATGAGCAACAATAAGATAACAGTGTACAACACACAATAAATGCATACTGAAATTACTATTTGATTGGATAAATATAATTATTCTAAGAAGTTTTACAACCTTAAAATGTCATTCAAATCATGAATGAGACCTACATATCCCTAATGATATTAGATGAGAAATATACAATATAATATTTACATCAGTGACTTCAAAATACAACATACTTAATAACAGCGTTTTAACCTTCAGAATTAGATTCTATACAGAGTACTGAGGATACATACCAGGTAAGAAGAATAAAACTCTAACAAATTAATTGTTATCATTTTTATATGGTTTTGGAGTGGGCTGAGTTTCAGTGAAATCCTAAATCGGTCATTGACAGACCACCATTAGAAACCTGGAAGAAGCAATGGACGATCCTTCAGTCAGTCCTACAGTATAGGACTCATCAGCGGTGAGTATAAGTGACACCGCCCACGGGAGTCAAACCAAGGATTTTCGGTCTCGTGAGCGGCGCCTAATTCCTAGAAAATTTTTCCTCCCTTTTTAGTTTAAACACATCTTAAGAATGCGATAAACTTTATATTTGAAAAAATAAAATTGGCATGTTATTCGACTTGATTTTTTAAAATCTATTTATTAACTTTATATTCAAATATGAATCACAACTGGTTGAAAACATTTGACTTTAAAGAGGCGTTTGACTGTTGATCGTGTACAGGCTCTCTGGCTAGAGTCAGAACTTATGGCGAACAGTTCTTGGAACTGATTAATTCTAGTGGTAATTAGGACTGTCCCCATTCTCCATTCATAGATAACTTTGTCATTGACATGATTTTAAATACAATACTTTCATTGTCTGGTTTTTCAGAAGTTGAACTTTTACCCAGACATTCATTAGTTGTTAGTACATGTAGAGAGTATCTGGTTGCGGTCCGGTAGTTAGAGACTTGGAATGGATATAATTCAAAATTGTTTGCGATGACACAGATACATCTTATTTTAAATTTATTTCACAGATTATATTTTCGATTCGTCGTTATCTTTTCGCTTACTGCTAATGCTGTTAAGAACAACCTACTACTACTGTGGTGCGAACTACTTATAAGTAGTATATGAAGTGAGTGTCAACGTAATGTCTGGCAGCAGCAGATGGGAGAAGATCAAGAAAGGAAGAGTTAGAAAACAATGGAATTTGTATGAAACACATGAATAGTGACAGTGGATTGATCTTTTTGCAACAGGAACAGTCCAGTTCGATATGATGAACTGATATTTTGCAAATTAACGATTTACGATATGGTGTTCTGATTTTACTGAGTAACTCTGTAATTTTCGTTAAATACAATCCGGTTGGCCCACCTGTGTTCTCGTTCACTACACTACTGTAGAATTTAAATTGACAATTCCACCTCTTTATGCTAATTAATTTGTTGTATAGCAACCAATGTACGTACTAAGAGCTCTACATTATCGTCGACAGACTGACACACAATTTTATTATTATTATTTTACTAAATCGAAAAAAAGATTGCTAAATGAAAATTATATCGAAATTTCGAAATGAATTCATGAAAAAAAGATGAGAAAAACTGAACACTTTTGGTTTTTTTTCACAGAGAAAAACAAGTGTCCAATCCACATTTGAATATGCAAGAATAGTTTATTATTGATGACAATGAAGTAGATAAGTTGTTTTTTCAAAAAAAATTGTTGAAATTTATACACTTTTTTTTCTGTCTATATTAGATTTATTCACCAAGGAGAATAAAAAAAATTTCGTAAAACAAAAAAAAATGAATTTTAATTAAGACAATATTTATTATAAATCAGAGTGTACTTTTCAAAATTTTTTTAAATAATCAGTTCGTCTTTTTAGGTAAATTTTTTATTGAACATCGATTTGAGAAGACGTTGTAGCTGATTCGAACAATCTGGTCACACATATATATATATATACACTTGTCAAGGCATTTTATTATTTGAAAATTCAATAAAAGTTCACACAGACATAAGGCGATAATTGTAGAAATAAAGGAGAGAGAAAATTCACATAGAATAGAGAAAATGGCCGTTAAATTGTTGAAAGATTATCTAGGTCAATTCAAGGTTATAACACAGACTGTTTCTGTACACACAAGGGGGGAAGGTTGTAATTTACGAATAGTGAAGGCTTCTATAAAACCTCAGAGTTTGTCCTTCAACATTTCTATATAATAAATGTTTTGAAGGTCATCTTGATGTCAATCTTATGGCCCGTCTTAATTATATGTGTTTTCTATTTCTCAGGTTAATCAAGTCATCTGATGCTATGAATTTCATATAAAAAGTACCTTGACAAGTGTGTATGTGTAAGTGACCAGATTGTGCGAAATGTATAGCGAGCGAATACATTACATTTTTCAAAGGAACTACATCTTCTCATTAATCTATAATAGAAATCACAGTGTGATTTATAAATTTTTTTCTTTTCAAATAGAAATGATTATTGACTATCATTTCTAGTGTTTTGATATAATTTGAATGAACTTTTGGCGGAGATTAAGTGTGGCGCTTGGAAAATCTGACTTCAATTTTCTCACGAACTACGTTAATAAGACAGTAGTTAAGTTGGATGAATATATTTCATTCACTCATCATGTAAGCAGACAAAACCGTAAGAATGAGAAGTGTATAAAGGCGAAGCGAAGTGGAAAGGATGAGAATTGGTCAATTCAATACGATGAGGTATGAGTAAGTATTGCTAATAAGATGAAAAAAATAAGCTAGACCAGTTTGATAAGCCAATAGTTATTAAAAGGATCAGAATGTGAAAGAGCAAAGACTCGTGTCGTATAGATTACCTAGCTCGCCCAAAAGCTCCTGACCGTAGCTGCTACCTTGACGTGGAGGTCAGGATTGCCTATCGTCATGACCCAACCGAGCTATACTGGCTGCAACATATGTTCCTGCAGGTCCTACCATGCCAGGCACGTCGATTGGAGAACGATGAGACTAAAAGCAGCTACTCAAGGTCTGAGGGCGAAGTCGTACTGCTGACTGCAGAGGGGTGTGACAGCAGTAAGGTGTTTCCCTCAGACAACCAGCATCTGCAGCGATGCTGCCTTCTCACAAGGAAGGAAGGGTTAGAAAAGGTCGAGCCTAAAAATGTCACACCTCACCGTACCTCACGGATTTCCGTCTCCTTGGGTAAGGGTGCCCACTAAGGGCCTTTAAGAGCGGAGCTAATACTCAAAAAACCCTTCATAAAAAGGCCGTGCGTGATCGGCCTCAAGCAGTTGTCCCTTGGGCTCTGCGGTCACGCACCCAGGTCTCCAAGACCAACACTAATCTATCTTCCTTTTCAGGTCCCTCAAGAAACAACCTTCCACGGTGTGGGCAGCCGGGAAGTGATAACCGCCCTCATACCCGTAACAACACACGAGACCAAATTGGTCGAAATCAAATGGGGCGACCAAACCAAAACATGGCAGAAATCCATGAAGTCATTGACGAGTGGACTGAGTCAGGTTGGTAGATGTAGGCTACCTAGTTGGGGTCCGAGGGATGATAATAATCGATGGTTAGAGACCCTGAATGACATGGCTCAAAATCGTTCGCAATGGCGACGGTGCATTTATTCTTTGTGTTCTCTCAAATGCTAACCTTCTGGATTCTTCAACACCTCTAGTTTTGACTTTCTAAACTTTTCTCATTTAATCATACTTCTTGAATAATATCTTCTAATCCTAACCTCTCCGATTACTTCTAATACCCTTACTATCTCTTCTACCATTGGATTTGAATTGACAATTATATCTCTGTGCTGATGTGGTATGGCAACATGGACTGATGTACTTACGTACGAAGTTCTACGTTGCATCTGACTGACTGATTGCCTAAAAGCTAGAACTAGTCATATGGGCTCGACACATACATTAAACCATCTTAAATGTAAGATATGTGCCTTGTAACCTAACTCTATGAAGTGTTGACAATGAGAAATCTGAACGTTTTTCCTACTAGGATACCAAAGCAATGAAACATGTAATCACCAGCACTTTTTGTTACAAAATACAAAGTTTTTATGACCAATATGTTCACACTAATATTGACGACATTTTTGAATCTCTGACTTATCTGTTTCCCTATACATAGTGAGGGATGTGTTTAGAAGCACCGGATGAGCGTTCTGTCCCTATTGTGATGTTTACTACTTATAACGTCGTTTATGAATAGTATGCAGTTGGTATGCAGCATAGCATAGTGTTACCCTGAAGTTACTGCTGAAGAGAAAAGTGTTGGGTCTGGACGTATGACGTAATCAGAGTGTTTTGAAGAATAAAAGACATGTGGAAGAAAGCGACCAAGGACACACTTGCTTTTTAAATGGGTGCTTACAGACAAGTTCTCCATATTTTTGGTAACAAGCGGTATCTTCTCCAATCAATGTACTTTTTTCCATCTGGTCTTATAAACCTCTTTCGTTAGACTTGTATGGGACTCGTCTGCAGTTGATTATAAAAGTCTACTTTATGAATGACATATAATAGGAGGTGTTAATTGAGAAAAGTGAACAACTTTGAACTTGTCCAACTAAAGTTGAACAAGGAAATTATTAGTTTGTTTGTTTTTCGTTTGCATATTGGGAGCAAGGTCCAAATGAACAAAATATTAAAGAACCGTATTTATTAAAGTAAGTAAGTCAGTCAGTCAGCTACAACGTATAATTGGGTAGGTATGTAAGTATTAGACATTAGCACAGAGATGTAACTGTGATTTCACAACCCATAGTGGTAGAGGTAGTAGAAGTATGAGAATTACTCGTAAACATTAGGGTTCGAAGATATTAGTCAAGAACTATAATACAGTGGAATCACTTTGAGAAGAGAAAGATGAAGGTCATGAGGGACTCAGAAGATTAGAATTTGGGAGAAGATAAGGAATGGATGCATCTTTTCCATTGCAAACGGTTTTGAGTCATGTCCTCCAGGGTCTATAACCATTGGTCACAATTGTCTCGCGGACCCCAACCAGGTGGTCGACACCTATCGACATGACTCAGTCCACTTGTCAATGACTTTATGGGTTTGTGTGATGTTTTGGTCTGATTGCTCATAGCTTTCTTTTAACCTACGCCACAAAACATTGCTCGTCGAGGCAGTCGGTGGCTCGGCATACGTAACACATGTCCCAAACACCTCAATTGGTGAAGTTTCAATACTTTATCTATTGATTTACCATCCTTACCTAGTACTCGCTTCTTAAAAAACACATCGCTTACTCGATTGTTCCAGTATATACGGTATATCAAAATAACTTAAAATTAAAAACAAATAACAAACAGTAGTTTTTAAATAAAATGAATCGCTGTTATTATTAATTAAATACACCAAAGATGCTTTAATTCAATCAACAAGAAAATCATTTCCTACTCTAACTTGGATATTTCAACTAAGATCATTTCATTCTGAATTGAAGATTGTTAGATCTACATCATAGGGTTGTGGATATTGTTGAGTTACTTTGAAATCATGAATCGATCAATGTTAGACCATTACTAGAAACTTGGGGGTACTAGATGGCCATTTCGTCCTAGTGTGGAGCTCATCAGTGGTACGCATTCACGACTCTACAAGTGAGAATCTAACTCAAGAACTTTGGTCTTGCACGCGAACGCTTAACCTCTGGACTACCAGGATGACCGGCATCCAACAGTGTTAACGTCTAACCTCGTAGATGAGGACTGCTGACGAGTCTTAAACCAAGACGAAATGGCCGCCTACAATGCTTCCAGGTTCCTAATGGTTGCCTAACGTGGGTCGATTCTCGATTGCGAATTTTATTATTAGATTACCATTCAAAACCTTGAATGCACTGGCCAACTGTTTCGTCATAGTATCAGACTCATCAGCAATGTGTATCTAATGGTGGTGTCTGTCTAACAATGATCGTGATTCACAATTTCAATGAAACTCAACAATCAACCAATATAATTATTGATTGAATCATAGCAAATCGATCACAGAAATTAAACATAAAATGGGTAATATTGTGAATAGATTTTTTTTTCTTAAATTATAACTAAATTGATTTGAATTAAGTACTACAAAAATATTTTTTTTTAAAAAAGTAGCTCAAATTCAAATTTTAATATATAACACTAACATGCAAATTGTAGTACAGTACATGTAGCGAACAAATAACCGCTAACATTAAAACATGCAACATAAAACGGGTAGAAATTTTTTGGTTGAGACTAATAATTTTATGGGCGACGACCATGAAGTAAGTGATGCCCAAATGACCTTGATAATACTCACCTAATTTATACTAAAGTTAAATAATGGGGGTTTGATAAATTACTGTGAGGAATAAGATTTAGAGTTGAATGTTGAGAAATACAAATTAGAGTTAAAAGTTTTCATTACAGCTATAATGGCAACAAACGATATTTAACCATATAAATGAATGGATAAACTTCGCACCAAAATCTCCAACAGATGCTATTCTAAAATAGTGATCGGTTCATTCATGAATTAACCCCACCTAGAGCCGTTTTGGAGCTACTGCCGATCACAAGCCCGGAGATAAAGGAGGAGCGTTGGGCATGGAGTTAACGACCCAATCCCGTAGAAAACTAACTCGCTAAAATAATGCTAACTAGGAAAAATAATTCACACCATTTAAACTCTACCCTAACAGTTGAAAGGTTTTCCATTTAGAAGAGTTATGCCGTCTCATGATGAAAGTAAAGTTCCTTCAGACGTCACGAGGCCGATGCCCCTTATGACAACGAGAGCAACTATTCTGTTAGGTACATGAAATGCTCGCACACTATGGGAGACAGGGAGAGTCATTCAAGTTGCTGCGTCCAGAAATTATATTTTCGTCCAAAACATTTTAGACAAATCAATAAATCAATTATAGAATACTTTGAGTACAACTTACTTGAATCAAGAAATAGATAACTGTTAATATACATATCGGGATAATCATAAATGCATTCAGGGTACAAGCAAGGCATAGAGTTAAAAAACATGTTAAAATACAATTTAGTGTACTGTTCAATGATACCAATACTGGATTATCTAATGTTGCAATATCTTGTGAAAAACGATTGACGATTCGACCCTAAAAAATAAAAGAAAAATTTGTAAGAAATTGAAATTAAGAATTAAGATGAAAATTTTCGTGAAATAAGTGTTTCACTGAAATTATTAATCAATTATTGTCAGGCCAGTATTAGAAACCTGGAAGCACTGGATGGCCGCTTCGTCTAACAGTATGGAACTCATCAGCAGTTCGCATGCATAGTCGAACAAGTGGGAATGGAACCCAGGACCTACGGTATAGCGTGCGGACGCTGAACATGTAGACTACTGAGCCGACATTCAGTTGTGTTAATGTTTAACTTTAATCCACTCAAGGTATTGCACAACTTCATCCACTGTCTTCGGCAGGTAACTGCCTAAGCCCAATAACGTTGAATTCCATTTCAATTAGAGTCAACAATCGTGCCAACTCTCCAGTGGATAGTTTTACCTATGGTTTTACAGAAGTATCATAAGTCCCCTCTATAGCTTAAAATGCTCGCATAAAGCTAATTGTTCGAATCACTGATGAAGGTGCGCTATTTTTCATAAAAGTGAAATAAAAAGCTGACGTCCAAAACTTGAACTGAATTGGTTGATATGTATAGAATGTAAAAGCCATGTGTTATAAAACGAAACGATTAGTGTAGTGTATTCTGTTATTTTCTGAATGTATGATAATTATCACCAGTGCGTATGCTAATATATTAATTACTCAGAAGTCTAAATCAGTGTTGATGGTTTTGTAAAAGTAAGCAATCGTCCAGTAATTTGAATTTATGTTTTAATCCACAATTCAGTAGGTTAATATTAGGAAATGTGATTCTATGATAGCCAGTAACCGAAGTAGGATTACGCTATTAAGATTTTAGCTTCCATGTGCCTCGCTCACAGTTGCAAGGGCCGCCAAGAGCATTCTAGGTATCAAAAGAAAGATGGTGCTTTACGGAGGCTAGCACCCTATCTTCGTAAAAGCCAAATGAAGGGGGTGGATGCACTGCTAACAAAGAAAAGTGAACTCTTCCCAGAACTCTCGCGAACGTCTCTGAGGTCGGTTGCATTACCGAGCTGGGAGCACCCCAAACCAATAGCCCGACTCAGTTGTTCGTCATCGAAATTCTCAAATTTCTAATTGACTCTTTCGTATTTATCACTCAGATTCAAGTTCTAGCTGTCTTTCAGATCGTTTAGTTTGTGTACATGCAAAAAAATCTTTTCAACAAAAACATTACAATTACACATATTACACATATTAAACAGCTGAAACTTACATGTGGAACTAAATCGAAAAATGTGGCTGGAGCATGTAATATATAACTTAATAAACGACTATGCAATCGTATAACACAACCTAAATGACCGATAGCCAATGTATAGATAGCTAACATGGCGAAGAATACTAAGGAAATATAAAATACATGAGAAACAAAATATACAGCAAATGTAACATAATTATCATCATAAAATCAAATCAATTAATCATTTGTATGATAAGCTTGTGGAGATTGTTGAATTACACTGTTGAAATCACAAATCGATCAATGTTAGACCCCCGATTAGACGAAACCTGGAAGCGACTGGATGGGACTCATCCGCAGTGCGCGTCCCGGGACCTTCGGCTCAATGATCCAGGGGATAGACGTTTGCGCGCAAGACCAAAAATGAATCCTGTGAGTTGCAGGAGCCGTGGATGCGCACAGTTGATGAGTTCCATACACTAAGATGAAACAGTCCAAAGTTTCTAATGGTTGTCTACCAGTGATCGATTCATGCTTTTAATTAATCATTTAGAATTGTAAAATAGTAAAAAAATCAAATCATGTAACTCAATTTACACATGCATGGAAAGAAGAACAAATATACACAGTCCAATCATCATATCTGTCGGCCAGATGAAATTAACTGCGTGTAACAAAGAAAATCGATCTACGAACTAGCTAACTAAATGAATCATACACACCAAAGCTAATAGATCTACACGTGATTGGTTTGTTTTTTTAAATAAATAACTAACTAACGACTACCACCTGCCTTTATATAATATAACCATATTCCAAAGATAAGATATAGTATGAAACTTAATAAAAGTCCATTTATTGAAATTAATCCAAAGAACCAAATTATTTGTACAGAAGTGATTAGCATATCCAAACAAAGATTGATTAGACCGATAATAGTGAATGGTAGAATATTTTCAATGCTATCAAAATCTATTGTTAAACAATTCATTATACATGGTATAGGTGTTTCATCAATATACTGATGATGATGATCAATGTTATCAGAGTCATGACGACGACGATTGTTATTCACATGGTAGTGTTGATTAGATTCAGAAAATGGTTTACTAATGAAACCTAAAGGTAATTGTTTTGATTTCAATATGAATGATAAACAATTTGTGTAGAATTGAGTATTGACTTTTAAAATTCCAATAAAACCAACAATATTAGCAATGGATTTTGTGATACCTAGTAATTAATTTTGAAATGATGCAATGTAGAGAAAAATAATTACATACATAATGAATTTTTCATTTTATAGAGTAATGCAGATCGTTGTTTTTATACATTGAAATCATGAATGAATCATTGTTAGACTAGCATTAGAAACCTGGAAGCATTGGACGGCCGTTTCGTCTTATAGTATGGGATTCATCAGCAGTGTGCGCCCACAAATCCTGCTACTAGCAGCGTTCGAAACCGGGACCTACAGTCCCATACATACAAAGACGAAACGTCTGTCCGGATCTTCTAGACTTCCAATGGTGGTCTAACAATGATTGATTCATGATTTCAATAATATGATGAATTGTTTTGTTTCTTTTCTGAATGGCTTGAGCCATGTTGGTGAGTGTAGACTACCAGGTTGGTGTCTGTGAGACGACTATAGCCGATAGTTAGACCTTGAAAGACATGGCTCAAAATCGTTCGAAATGCTGCAGGTGCATCCATTCTTTGTGTTCTCTCAGATTCGAAATTTTTGAATTCCTCACCTGTTAGTGGGACATAGATGGAATTACAGCATGACTACGTTGCTGCGCGCTGATTGGCTAATTTCCTATCCAATCAGCGCCTGATCGATTCTTGGAGAACAACGTAGGAAATTCCAGTGTTGCTAGCTGTACTCTGATTGACTAAATCTAATCCAGTCGATCACGTGAATTACTATGCAGAAGCTTCGCATGAAAATACTGTAAAGAATCTAACGTTGTATCTATTTTGCCTTCGGCTTCGTATTTCCACCGTGTTTTTGATTCTTTGGAACTTTTCCAGTGTATTGTGGTCAGAGAATACTAAGCAATAGGAATTAGCCGGGAATTATTTAAGCAAGCGTTACAACATCACCAAATTTATCTTTCTCTTGTAAATTTTATTTCACTGCCTTATAATTCTCCAATCATATCTTCAATCCCTAATCTTTTCAATTAGTACTAGTATTGCCAAAACCTATAACACTATGGGATTTGAATTGCCAATTAGATCTCTATATGCTAATGCCGTTTGACAACTTGAACTGATGTATGTACATACAAAGTTCTAAGTTGTAGATGACTGACTGACTGAAAGACTAATATGAAAAATCTGGAGACTTTTACAGAAGAGTTTTTGTCCGAAGAATTATTCATTACTTGTAATAATTGTGAATTACGAGAACAAAAATCCTCAGCATACATCTAACTGAGAAGTTGGAAGTAATGTCAATATTGAACAGATACCTTTGAACACAAGTCGTCTATGAAATTGAATATACTGACCTATTTATATTGATCGGAGGAGTTGTTTTGTTGGGAAGAGTTCAAACGAAATATCTGATTAAACGGTGTGTCACATTTGGTGACGAATAGATGCGGATATTATATATATATATATATATATATATATATATATATATATATATTTGTGTATGTAAATGTGTTTTTCGGTCTTCCTCTTTTCATTTGGCTTTGAGGATTCCAAGTGATGACTTGTGACATAACTGGGGTGCTTTCCTCAATGTGTGTCCTATCCACCTCAAGTGCTTCTTCCTGACTTCTTCCTACATAGGAATATGGTTTGTTCTCTCCCACAGTACGTTGTTGTTGATGATAGTATCTAGCCAGCAGATCCGAAGTATTTTGCATAGATAACTGTTACTAAACACTTGTATCGTCTGGATGATGGCTTTCTCAGTTCTCCAAGTTCTCATCCCATATGAATAGAACTGTCTTGCCATTTGTATTGAAAATTCTAACATAACGTCTATCTGGTGGTGGCTTATTATGTGAATAATTTCACGGTTGTTTTTAGTCAATTGATGACATGAAACTAAAAACTAAACTGTTAGACACGGAAAAAAAATTATCTACAGATGATCGTGAAAAATAGTGAATAGTTATTACATCACATACCTTGTAATACTCCAATTAATCCATAGATTGAGAGCCTGTAATTACGTTGTGTGTAAAATTGCTGGAATTCCATATCAATTTGTGCTTTGGAAATATTGATTGATGAATTTTCATTCATTAAAATGATTGACTGATTAAGTTTTGCATCATTCGACCAATCCGCTAACCATAAATTTGTTCCCAATGATAAAATATGATTGATTGGATAAAATAATAATACTAATATTCCATAAAGTAGTCCAATATTTTTAAAATAAATTAAAAATACACGAAATTTAACCTGTAACAGAAATAAAAAATTAATTTTAAGTAAGTAGATATACGAACAATTAACATATGCTCACACTATTGGCTAGCAGTGTTAGCGAAATCTTAAGAGTTCTAGTGCGAAGGTGGGATCAGTGAAATTCAATCGTGTCGGATGTGAGGAAGCTACCCATCGAAGACAATAAATAATGATCATGCAATAATTTGGACTGGTGGAAGTTATAGATTAATTAACACCGTTAGATGCCGCTTCAGTGGTCTCAAGGTTAACCGTTTGTGTGCGATATCGAGAGTTCTAGGTTAGATGCTCGCTTGCGAGGTCGTGAATGAGAACTAATAATGAGCCTTATACGATAAGACAAAACGACTATCCAATGCTTTTAAGTTTCTGCTGGTGGTCTAATATTAGTCGATGCATGAATTCAATTTCACTGATCGTTCTTGGTTAAAAAAGCCATTAAAAGATAGACAGTATCTAACAGCTGTACCAGGATGGTATAGAACTACTAAGAAGTGGAAAGCCATAAACCTAACACGGATTAAAGAAAACATAGGATAGTCAGGTTTCTTAGAGAGAGAGCTGATCCAAAGTTTTTGATCGTTGTAGTGATGCAAACTAGATAATTGTCCAATCATATGATACATTTTTCCTTTTCGAATTTTGCAGACAAACATACGGTACAAATTACATGTATACTGTACCGCTCGCTATAAGTTGGTAAACAGTTATCTCCAACGAATAACGATATGATTCAATGAAACACTATCGGTAACTATTTAAAATCAATTCACAAATCTACATAGCTCAATAACAACAACACAATCACAGTGTTAATTAATCAGACTACGAATTTCTCTTAATTTAACGGAACAAAGGAAAAGCGCAAATAACAAGTGGCTAATTATAAAAAGTAGGTTGGAAAAAGTTAAGATTAGTAAGAATAGATCAGGGAGTTGTAGTATGTACTAATTATGTCATGGCCATCATATACCTTGTCCTAACTTTAGTACAACCTGATTGCCCCATTCTCGAGTTGTTATTATTATTCACATATATTTTGAACGTGTCAGCAATTCGCTTACATAACCTTGGTTGTTTTTATTTGAGTGAGTGGGGGTACTGCTTACTTCGTTAATCATAGGTCTAGCTTATTTTAGTCTGACTATAAATGCATAATCATGCCTCTACTTCGTTTGATCAGTAGTATAAGACTAGTTCTTCCTTGGTTTTATCTGGTTAACGTGTGATTCAAATGTGACGACACGGATTAGCAAAGCAAGTATAGCATTTCTACAATTGATGAAAATCTGGTCTCAAGATAACTGTTTGTCAGCTAACACCAAAATGAGGTTCTTCAATACAAACGTCCAAACAGTTCTATTGTATGGAGTGGGAAGTTGAAGAACTACGAAAGCAATCATTCAAAATACACAGATATTTATTATCAGCTGTTTACGCAAGATATTCCTCGTGTGTTGGCCAGACACAATCAGAAACAAGCTACTGTGGGAGAGAACAAACCAGGTTTGGATGAGGAAAAAAATTAGGAAGAAGCGCTGGGAAGGTATATAGAACACGCATTGAAGAAACCATCCAACTGCACCACTAGGCAAGCTCTAACTTGGAATCCTCAGAGCCAAAGGAAAAGAGGAAGATCAAAGAACAAACTATACCGAGAATTGGAGACAGATATGAAAAAAATCAATAGCGATTGGGTAGAACTGGAAAAGGAGGCCCAGGAAAGAGTAGTAGCTTAGAGACAGCTGGTCGGCAGTCTATACTCACGTATGGGGTAAAAGACATAAGTAAGTAGGTAACTTACTTCTTTCTCAATCTAATTGAAAATGTCAAAAACTAACCAAAAACATTAAATCCTAAATATACAGTATGTTTTGTTTTTCTAAAAGTATGAATTCTTAGTATATAATTGATGTTATCCACAAAATAAAGAACGAAAATACATCAAACTTTACAAACGTTTTCCTAAAATCAGCTCATAATAAATACTTTCTAACGTCACAAACAATAAATTCATGGTATAAGTGTTAGCCTACAACTACAGAGTATATGAATTGTAGCATGTGTAGCATGTGTCCAAGCCTTTGAATAAATTGTTAATCCATTGAAATGTTTTTCGATCTTGTCACTTTTATTTCCTCATAAACTTGGTTGTTTATATTTGATTGTATACGTGCATTGCTAACTTTAATTATTACACGGCTAGTTTCTTTAGTCTGATTTTGAATACTTAGTCACGCTTCATCGCAGTTGAAGTTGATTCAGTCACCTCCACATCGTTTCACTTTGCTTTTCTTTACACTTTCTATTCTCATATCTGTCTACATAAATGAATGCATGAAATAAATTCATCATATGCAGAACAAACAGAGTTCGTCGAAGAACAACTAACGAAAATGGAAAGGAAGATTTATTTCATTGCATACTCGAATATTCGTCTAAATTAGAGTCAGGCCACTAAAACTGATGAGCTCTACTTTTTTGAATTTCAAAAAAGGCACTCGTCACTAACAAAACTTGTTTGTACACTTCAAATAAATATGCATTGATATAATTTTCAATTGCAAATCATTCATTCACTTACCCGACCAGTAAGAACTTTTTCTGGTTGACTCATTGGTTGAAGTGTCTTTTGTTCTTGTTCTTCATTCAGAGTCTCATGCGATGATTTAATCTAATTGTGATAAGATAAATTTTTAGAAAATAAAGCAATGTATGTATGATCTGATGATACTACTGTTAATCATAAATCAGTCAGTTGGTCAGTTACAACGTAAAACTTCGTTGCAACATTACACATTAGCACAGAGATGCAATTGTCAAGTCAAACCCAACAGTAATAGATGTAGTAGAATTACTAGTGATAATGGAGAAGATTAGGATTCAAACATATTATTCAGAAAGTATAAGACAGTGAAACAATTAATTACAAAAAACATCAAAGATGAGGAATTCAGAACATTCGTATTGGATAGGACAAAAAGAATCGATGCACCTACACCATTACAAACGATTTTGAGCCATATCGTTCAAGGTCTCTAACCACCGGTTACTATCGTCTCGTGGACCCCCCCAACCTGGTAGTCTATACTACTTACCCACATGGCTCAGTCCACTTGTCAGTGACTTCATGGATTTGTTACATGTTTTGGTTTAGTTGCTCCTAGCTTTCTATCGAACAACTCCTACTCCACTAAATATTGCTCGTCAAATTAGTTGGTGGTTGGACATACATAACATTATATCCCAGCTACTTCAACCGATGGAGATGCACTATTTTATCAATTGATTTGCCATCCTTACCTAGTACCCTTTTACTAACAACACCACTGATAACTTGACTGTCTCAGGATATATGAGCAATGCTTCGAAGACACTTATGATCGAAAACCAGCAACCTACCAATAGCTTCAACTCTGACTAGCCATGTTTCACACACACAGAGGACGGAGCAACTGTTGCTCAGTAGCCTTGTCCTTTAGTTGGTAGATGAATATCTGGCCTAGCAAGTTGACAAAAGCCAGTCGGACCTTCTGTATCCGTGCTGGAATGTCATTACAAACCAGACCATCAGCACTGATGAGACCCCTCTGAGATAAATAAAGGTGCTTCACTCTCCATCAGTAGTTCAGGTTAATAATAATCAGAAGAAGAAGAAGAAGAAATAATATACAAAATGAAATGTAAACTATGATTGAAAGAATGGGAGTACAGCTGTGACCCTAATAACAATCTATCTAACATGTGATCTGTACAGATTCCAATCATTGAAATCATTTCATTGATATTGAAAATAAATTGCATATCTTATTCTCGATTAATGTCAATCATGATTGTTTTCTATTGCTATGCAGGATCAATTTTTATTTTCTGATGAGTAAAATATCACTTTCAGATAGGTAGCGTAAGTTAGTTAACTACAATGTAGAACTTTGTAAGTATGTACGTATGTACATCCATTCAAGTTGCCATTATCATACATAAGCACACAGAAATCGAATTGTTAATTCAATTTCTTTATAGTAATATATGTAATGAGAGAAGATTAAGGTTTGAAGATATTATCAGATAGCGTAAACTTAACATGTACTGGTATATAATTTCTGTTAACAAGTACAAAATTCAAAATTTTTCTCATAACGAATTCTAACTAATTAATTAATACCAAAAATAAAATTCATTGGTTGTGCAAGAGACAAAGAGTACCTACACAGATCTCATGATGAGCTTATAATTAACCGACCGCTGAACAACATAAACTCAGCATATGTTAACTGAAACAAATCCATGATGATCAATACCCTCTAAATAGACTAAACTAACCGAACCTCTAGCACGAACTCAAAGAATTACTTCACTAATTGATAATTAAAAACATGGGGAGCTTTTGAGCGATCATGCCTTGACACTATAAAAGTATGATATACATACATGAATTTTAACCAAAAAAAAGTTCGCATAATAATAAAAGTCAAGAAAAAATTTCACTGTACAAATAAACTAAACGCAAGAGAGAAAAAAAAAATCCAACTTTACTGCTGAACAAAAAATACGAGTAACTAAGCAACGTTCAAAAACAATCAATCTAATTCTTACCTACTTATTTCAGTAGTATATTAGAGTTTTTACATTTTTTTTTAAATTTTAAAATTTGATCCAATAATTTACAAAATTACATTGACTGAGAAAAAATATGTTAATTATAAACATTTTTTTTTAAGGAAAAAACACACACTTTAAAATTAGTGATATTAAAAATTTGGCTGTATGAGAATATGCTTTAACTTGATTCCTGTACTGATTTCTATATTGTTAATTAAAATTCACAACTGCTGAGATATGAACGGCTTCGGTTGATAAACGCACACATTCTAGCCAGATGTTTTGATATAGGGATTTTTTAGGTTTCAAGGTTTTGGTATGTTTTGATTATGATTAACAATTGAATCAAGTGTATTGTAGTGAAGGAGATCACAGGTGGGGCAACCGAATTGTATTTAACGAAAATTACAGAGTTACTCAGTAAAATCGGAACACCATATCGTAAATTGTTAATTTGCAAAATATCAGTTCATCATATCGAACTGGACTGTTCCTGTTGCAAAACATCAATCCATTGTCACTATTCATCATGTGTTTCATACAAATTCCATTGTTTTCTAACTCTTCCTTTCTTGATCTTCCCCCCATCTTCTGCTGCCAGACATTACGTTGACACTCACGTCATATACTACTTATAGGTAGCTCACACCACAGTATAATCATTAGTTGATTGGAAACTGATTAACTAATTTAATAAATTCAGTTCAGAATTTAAAGTAAATGAAAACAGAAATTCAAACAGACAAACTCTAGCTGTGTTCAATCAAGTCCAGGAGTATCAATGTGAACAGCTACAATCTAACGCAAGAACACTAGACTTCAAATAAGCGTCAGTTGTTGACTCTATGTAAATGATAATTACGATGAATAGTTTGTTCATGAAATATTTCAAACTGTATAACATGCATTAGCCAATAAATTGATATTTATGAAAGGAAATTTGTGAAGTTTTTTTTTATCTTATTCCCACAAGTTACATCACCAAATTAATCTAAGCTAGAGAAACATTAGAAGCGTGAAAGTGCTGGATGGACATGCTGTCTGTCCTATTACGAGACAACAACACTGTTGAATGCCAACTCATTGGTTAGTTAAAAGGTTAAGAGCGTTCAAGCGCAAGACGGGAAGTCTTATGTCCAGTTCCCACCAGCACAAGTCATGGATGTGCATTTCTGATGAGTCATATACTCTAAAAAGAAACCTCCACATTCAGTGCTCTCCGGTTTCTGTTAGCAATGAAAAACATGTACTTATTAAGAAAAGTAAATTTATGATATATTGTAAGTTTGAAACAATTACTAATCCAAAAAAAGGTTACAACTCATACAAAATAACTTCTTAACAAATAAGAATTTGAAAATTTAACTTTACATCATTGATGATTTGATAATAATGGTTAAATTACACAAGTTTTATTCACCCAATTCGAAAATGTAAACACCTGTCCATTAACCTTATATCATGATGATGCATCAATTATAACATTTGTGTGTTCAACATTCAATCATACTGTAGATATATACAAATCGACTGTTGATACCATTGAATTAGTTAAAAGTAATTCATGATTACAATTCAGAATTTATAACTGAATTGTTCGGAAAACCCAAGTTATAGATAATTACACATTTTTGAAATCATGAATCGATCAGTGTTATACCACTATTAGAAACCTGGAAGCACTGGACGGCCGTTTCGTCCTGGTATGGGACTCCTCCGCTGGTGGTCTAACACTGATCGATTCATGGTTTCAAAAATGTGTAACTTAACAATCTTCACAACCCTGTTATTGATAATTATTATGACATTACTTTACCGATGATGACTTGTTAATCTTACAAAATGGATTTTACTGTATTTGAATATTAATGTTAACTTCTTTTGAAAACTCTTATACTGTTGAGACTGTTTGAAATTAGAAAAACTTCATCCATTTATTGTTCTCTCGTTTAAAATTTATTTCAGTGAATTATACTTCTTGAATAATATCTTCGAAACCTAATCTTCTCCATTAACACTAATACTTGTACTACATCTACCATTATGGGATTTGAATTGACCTTTGAAGTGATCTTTGTGTTGATGTGTGATATTACAACCTGAACTGATATATGTACGTACGAAGTTATACGTTGTAGCTGATTGACTGACAAAGATTTTACATGTAGGAATCTCTTCAGTTTAATAATATGTATAATAAGATGTCTTAGTTAGTATCATGAGGTATTTATTAGTATAATGCGTCATAAACACAGCATCTCGTATACAAATACACCCATATTAACAGTACAACATTTACTCTTCGACATATATGTAATCCAACACGAAAATTTAACTCTCATTAAAAAAATAAAACTATTTGTGAATATACTCACAGATTTTTGAGATAGTTTTGTTGGACTTGACAATCGAATATTGCTGTTATTATGATTATGCTCATCTATACTCAATGTTTCCGAATAACCTCGATGACGATGCTCGAATGTTGGCGGTGATGATTCTAATGGTAGCATACAATTTGGTTCAAGAAAATCTGGGGGGTGGGGAAGAAGAGGGAGAATACCCAAGTGAATACAATCATCTCATGTCAATAATAATACAAACTATGTAGTTAATCATATCTCAACTTAATTTGATTAGCTAATTACACCTGGGGGCATAATAGGTACATTTCGTGATGTGGATTAAAATTATTTCCTATTATTGTTATTATTATTACTTGTATTTTGTTGCGTACTTTTCGTTCAGTTGAGGGAGATTTGTTTCAACTCAAATAAATCTTAAACTTCTGCAATCTTTTCAAATCCTCCACAGCTTTTTCATAATCCACGACTCCCGTAACTCCAAGGACTGAAATGCAGGACCTCTGGTGTTGAGCGCGAACGCTAGTTGCAGGAGTCGTAGATGGGCACTGTTGATGAGTCCCATACTAGGGACGAGATGACAACCCAGTGCTTCCACATTTCTAATAGTGATCTAACAGTGATTCAATCATGATTTCAAAAAGTTACTTAACTATCTCCACAAATCTATCATGCTAGATAAAATTAATTCACAACTAATCTTGTTCAATTCAAAATAAAATAAGCATAAATTCTGAGCTGTTACATCATACGAATGTATCAAGGCCAGTAGTAATAAATAGTGGTCGTTTTTTTTTTGTTCATTAAGTCATTAAAATAAATCTGATTATTTACAATGTAATTTTTATTGCATCATGACTGACTGTACAGCATCTGATGTGCCCGATGATATTTTTTGTTGTAGAAAACTTACCATTGTTTATGGCACTTTGTAAGTAAACGTTTTACTAAGTATTGTGTGTATAGTAGAAACGTTAAGACAAAACTAATCATTTTCGTTTCATTTAGATTGATTCCTTGGTACAAAGATGAAATAATGTTCGACAGTGAAGTTTATAAAAATATAATCGAAAAGATACAAATGTTTATTAACAAAAATCTACGCAAAATACTGAAGATCATCTATTGGCCAAACACCATCAGCAACAAACTACTGTGTGAGATAACAAGCTAGATTCCGGAAGAGGAAAAAAATTCAAGAAGCCCTGGATAGGATATGCATTGGGGAAAACACCCATATACGTCACAAGACAAGCTGTCACTTAGAATCATCAAAGCCAAACGAAAAGATGGAGAGCAAACAACACATGACATCGAAAATTGGAGACAGACACGCAAGTCATGAACAGCAAATAGATAGAATTGGAAATCAAGGCCCAAGACAAGTAGGTTGAAGTATGCTGGTTGGTGGCCTCCTATGTTACAACTGGGGGATAACAGGAACAAGTAATTCAGTAAGTAAGTAAGTAAGTAAGTAAGGTGTAGTTCAGTTATTACCGCCCATCCCCGCCCTTTAAATCAAATCAACAAATATCAAGTTAGAATTAAATGATTACAACGAATTCCATTGGAATTGTAAAACTATAAAACAAACATTCAAATAAAGCGTTATGTTATGTAATAAATCTATATATATATATATATATATATATATATATATATATATGCTTACCATTTGTTAAATTTTCCGCTGGTACATTATCCACCAAATCTTTTGTTGAATTCTCATTGTTTTGTACTTCCGATTCAGTTGGTTTAGTTTTTAATAATAAAAATGTTGATAAACGACTAGTGTTTGAATGCATCAACTGTTGATAATTACCCAATTCAATTAATTTTCCACCAGATAATAAACCAACACGATCAGAATAAGGTAATACTTTCGGATTATGTGTTGTTAGAATACATGTTTTAGTTGAAAGTAAACCAGTGGAACGACTTAATACATGTTTAATTAAATGTAAACTAACATGTGCATCGACAGCAGATAATGGATCATCTAAGAGATAAATATCAGCATTAGCATAACATGCTCTAGCTATGCTGTATAAGAAAAACAAAATAAAAGAAAGGAAAGAGAGAGAGAATAAAATAATGAAAGACAAGAAAAATTATTTATCAATTAAATATTATAAATAAACCGAACAAAAAAGGCATTTTAACACTTGGAACCAGTTTTGTTCTTTGAATGAATCAATAAAAGATTAGTTAAACCAGTATTCACTATTTCAAAGAAAAACAACAATTTATCGAAAAATACACATGTCCATATCATGAATCGATCATTGTTATTCTACCATTTGGAACATGGAAGCACTGGGTGGTCGTTTCGTCCTAGTACTGAAGTCATCGGCAGTGTGTATTCATGACCCCTGCTACTCGCGGGAGTCGTCGGACACAGGACCTTCGGTTTCACACACTTGAACGCTTATCCTCTTCTAGACCACTGAGCTGGAATCTAAAACTGCTAATGCATATCTCCAGTCGGTTTAAGGTATTGCGCGACCTCATCCAATGATTTAGGTTGGTAACAGCATCACACGCAGCAGGGTTGAACTCCACTGGTCACGGCTTTTCACAAAAAAATGGAGGATTCCTCACAAAGCTAGTCAGTAGTGAGCACACCACTGGATTCCACTGGCTCAGTGGTCAGCTAAGCGTTCGAACACGAGCCGGAGATCGTGGGTTCGATTTCAGTGAGTAGCGGGAGTCGTGGACGTGCAGTTCTGATGAGTCATATACTAGGAAGAAATGGCCATTCAGTGCTTTAAGGTTTCCAATGGTGGTTCATCATTTCAACGGAACTCAATAATCTGCACAACCCTACAATCAAATGTGTATCATTTTATGTCACTGAATGGTGAGTTAAATAGCATTGTAATGAAACAAGTGTATAACTCCGCCTGGAACCCTTCTAGGGTTACTGCCGGTTCCAAGCCCGGATAAAGGAGATGGGTTGGGCATGGTGTTAGTGATCACATCTCGTCGAAATCCAACTCACCAAAAAACACTAACGAGAAATAATAATTCGGTGGTCGGCGGCCTATGTTCCCATTAAGGATAACAGGCGTAAGTTAATAAGTAAGAAACGAGAGTATAAAATAAAAGATCGGTAGAATATTATTATTGTTATTAGTTAAAAATTAAATACTAAGTTTTCACAAATGTAATAATCATGAAACAGTTCATAAATAGTGAATACAAACTGGATGATGATTCAAAACTATTCAGAATATTAAACAATCCACATAATAAACCATTTTTATTCTGTTTTATCAAGAATAACTTGAATTTTGTATACAAACAAAAAAAGTGTAGTAAACTTATCAACTGACATGATAAGGGGTAGTTGTTAGTATATGTTTTGTTGTTTTTTTCTAAATACTTGTCACTTACATTTGTCCCTTTATTATATCTTGTATACTTCCCTCATTGACACTCACTCACTCAAGACGTTAATTTTTCATGTTGTGTTTAATAGATGACTCTTGATGATGATGATGATGATGATGATGATGATCACTCCTCATTTAGTAACAAGTTTGTTTTTGTCTATACGCGTTTACAACTTCACCTTAACCCCATCTCTCTACATTTTGATGATAATTCAAATTTACCATAGATTAACACTAATCAAATCGTGACTACTATGTTAGTTAATGAGGTTGCTCTCTCTCTCTATTCTTGATTAGAACTAATGTAAATTTAGGCTCTTTACACAGTTGATAAGATGCCTTGAAATAGATAGGGAATTCATTTTATTATTCAGGGAAAATTTTGTTTTGATTCTTGTTGCTTTACTGGAGAGTCTATGCGTAAATAACTCTGCCAGAAGAACCTTCGGGGCTACTGCCGGTCCCAAGCCCGGATAAAGGAGGAGGGTTGGACCCCATTCCGTTGAAATCTCACTTGCCAAAAAAACGCTGACCAGAAGAAATAATTCAAGCCCTGGGAGTTGGAAGAAAGATTATGACGTCTCGTGATGAAAGCCGAATTCCCTCGGAAGTCACGGGGTCGATGCCTCTTCTGACAACCAGAGCAACCATTCTTTCAGGCACATGGAACGTTCGTACAATGTGGGAGACTGGAAGACTATTTCAATGAAATGAAAAGACACAACTTCGAGGTGCTCGGCATCAGTGAAACGCATTGGACACAGGTAGGACAACTGAGACTTGCTTCAGGGGAACTGCTGTTATACTCTGGTCATGAAGAGGAAAATGCTTCACATACACAAGGAGTTGCACTGATGCTGTCCATACATGCACAAAAGGCACTGATAGGATGGGAATCTCATGGACCGAGGATCATTAAAGCATCCTTCAAAACAAAGAAAGCGGACATTACAATGAACGTCATCCAATGATAATGAGAGGAATGAACAAACATTGGACAGAACTGGAGACGGAAGCCCAGGACAGAGTTGGTTGGAGAAAACTGGTGGGCGGCCTATGCTCCATTGGGGGTAACAGGCGTAAGTAAGTAAGTAAGTAAGTAAGTAAGTTATGCGTAAATGAAAGTTCATCACACCAAGTACCATGTGAATAACTGCATTATATCCTATATTGTATTCACTATCTTATAAGTGAATGTATGTATGAACACATCATTTTTGACAACTAGTCATGAATTACAAATTATCATAAACTAAACTATTTCATTTGTAATGATTGTTTGAATCTGCCGGTTGATGTTTAACGATTTCAATTGGCATTTGTGCATCCAGTGCAAACTGCTTCCATATTAACTGTAGTTACAAAGTGGATAATGGCTAACAGTGGAACCCAGGATACATCCAGCTAATGACAAGTCTTAAATAGAACAAAATCACCCGTCCTGTATTATTCCACTGTTAGCCATCATCCATCTCTGGTTATTAATGCTTATAACGAAACGATAAAAAAATTTCCATGTAATCCGCACGAAATGCAAAAATGCCAAATGAGATTGTGAGACACTATTCACCTCTTGCTAATAATGTACTTAAATTGTTTCCAATCGATATTTCGATGATTCATCATACATAAGTAATAAATAACCAAATAAGACAAAAGTTGAATCAATGAACTGTTATGTAACATATAGAAATGGTCAAAAGTAATGAGAACATTTAAACCTCCTTCTTCTGTAGATTAAACTTGGAAGCACTAGAGACTGTTGATAAGTCCCATAGTGGGACGAAACGGCCGTCAATGATCAGTTAGTGTATTAGACCATCATAAGAAAACTGAAAGCAGTGGATAAGCGTTTCGTTCTGCTACATGACACACTAGCTGTGCATATCCAAACCACACAATTCAGTCTTGTACGTGAACACACCTATTATGGTGTCTACTGTATAGTCTTGAAAAACTTTGTTTTTGTTTTTCAATATTTTACACATAAATTCATTTCAGAAACAAAATAATTGTATTATTAAAACATCACTTTTGTTAATTATCACACTGTCAACTTCGTAAACAAGTGACTCAAAACTATTATTGAAAATCATTAAATCTTGAATATTATGGTGTTCCAAGACCTGTTAGGCTGATGTCGTTTTTCTAACAAAAATCTTTGAAGTATATAGAAATAAGAATTAAGTTATAAACTAATACCTTCATGAAGCATGCGAAAAGGATGGTCCAATGCATCTAGATTTCTAATGATGATAAGTTCATGATTCCAATTATCAGACTATGACAATGTATACAAATGCCCATTCATCGATGACAATCTGATGACAATCATCTGCTCACTAGTGATTAGCTTCAAGATGAATTCTTGAAGTTCTAGTGAAAAGTTGTGACCAGTGTAGTTCAGCTGTGTTAGATGTGGAGGCAATTACCAATCAAAGACAATGGATGACGGTGGCACAATATAGTGAATTGACTGAATTGAGACTTTAACATCAATGAATTCAGACTCATTGGTCTAAAGGTTAAACATACTCACGCAAGATCGAAAGTCCTTGGTTAGACTACCACTTGTGCAAGCGTGCACACAAACTACTGATGAGTCGTACATCATAAAACGAAACGGCCATCCAGTGCTTCAAGATTTCGAACATAACATTTTTTCGGTAAAATATCTTACTTAGTTATACAAAAATCACTGCATTTGTGGAAAATAACAAATGAGAAAAAAAATAGAGCGATTAATAATACATTTAAATTTAATACTCTCATTTACCTAACACGTTGTTTTTGTCCACCGGATAAATTAATACCTTTATCACCAATTTCTGTCAGATCACCATTCGGTAATATTTTCAAATCTGGTATCAGATTACATGCATGTAATATTTGTTGATATTTGACTGGTTCATAGACATGATGAAATAAAATATTATCACGTAGAGTTGCATTAAATATCCATGGTTGTTGTGGTACATAAGCCACTGAACCCTATAAAAAAATTATACTTGTTCGATTGATAATATTATATATAAAGTAAAAATTATTGAGGTTCATTGAAATGATGAATCGATAAATGTTAGATCACTGTTAGAAACGTGGAACCACGGTAGAGGAATGTTTTATCCTATAGTATGGGATTGATCAACAGTGCGCATCCCAAACTTCTGTAGGCGGGAATCGAACCCAGGACCATTGGTCTCGCGTGCCAACGATTGAGCTCTATACAAATTAACCTTCAATTGGCAAACATAATTTTACATTGGTTTCCAGGAGAACAAAGGAGACAGCTCACGTGTTAACTCTTCAACGTGAACAGTTCAGCTTAATCCCGTGGCGCAACCACCACGCAGGTACCTGACACTAGTGGACCATTCACACCATTTATCTAAACTAGTACATTACTATTTCCGATCCGTGATCGATTCAATAAATATGCACAGCATGAACAGGCCAATTTGACCAATCTCGCTTACATGACTGTCAACCTCATTAATATTAGCAATTGTGATATGTAATACAGCACACGCCAATGACATTGGCCCTCGAGAATGTAGCAAGACGAGAACTAGTATCAATGAAACAGGTCACCCTGCAAACCAAATTTGTATATGAACAATGAGCAAAACTTGCCAAACTATCAACAGTGTTCACAACGATCTTCTGTTCTCATAGGAAAAATTGAGCTCTGTAAAGCAATATAGCTTAGATTATAAATCGCGCTTTTTATGCTTTAGCTGGTCGGTCACAGGTTGAAAGATAAATTTTCGGGCAGAGTTTTTGTAGGTTTGTGTTTTTACACATTTGAAATCATCAATCAATCATTGTTAGACCACCATTAGAAACCTGGAAGCACTGGACGGCCGTTCCATTCTGGTATGGGACTCATCAGCAGTGCGTATCCACGACTCCTGCACCTCCCAGGATTCGAACCCGGGACCTTCGATATTGTGCGCGAACTCCTAAAAATCGGACCAATGGGCCGGCATCCAACGGTGTTATTCTCTAACTCTGATAAATTACCTAAATTAGCCAAAAATGTCTGTGTTTATCAATTCATCTGTTCCTATGGAGCAAGTTACATCGGCATATGTTTACCTATTAGTGTGGTTAAGCAAAAAGGTAAGGTTAAATCTGTTAACAGCTTGATTCTATCTAACTTAACACAAACGATGCATACAGCCAGCATGGAGTGGTCATTTTCAACATTATATATTGTGTTATCAGTAGTCTAAGTAAGATAACTATGAATGTGTTACGCTCGTCTCTAGGTATGCTTAAACTATTACGAGTTCACCTTAGACGAATAGCGAGAACAAACAATAAACCAGCGTCCAGGTAGGCTATTGTGATCCCGTGACCAAATTGAATCAGTGAGAAGTCTTGATATAGCGTAGGAGTTGTATTCTACAAACACCCAACCAGCACACAATGAATCCAAGAACTGAAATTGCGTTATTTATACTCCATAGAGACGTCGTTGGGACAGTCATAAAAATAGCACACTAAAATGACACAATAACCAATCACAGACAATCATTTTCTTGGTGGGAAATGTGATCTTAAGGTCAACTGACCGGTCCATGAAATAAATCCAAAATAAAGATATTTATCAAGCGAGTTCTGGGTATCTAACAACAGAATGCTTGACACGTCTGGAGTAATAGCTATTCGAAACGAAAAGCCGGAACCTTGAGTTCAGTAGTAAATATGTTTGACCACTCTTTCTGCATCGGTCAACGTGTGACGCCTAAATATTTTGATGTTGATCTGAACAACCTCATACAATTCCCATCTTAGTACTTTTGTAGATTAAACTTATCTTGTTCAAAAATCGTATTATTATTATTATTGTAACGCTTGCCACTTTTTTGAGAAATTTTTTATTCAGTATCCATCCCCATTCACTAATATGCTCCTCATTCATGTTATTCCGTATACATGCAATGATTCCTGGACTGTAATTAAATGTTAACCATATTCATTTCTGATCATTAATCTCACAATTTTATTTAGCTTATTCAGCAAGTGGACACTTCATATCACGTCATCTCAACAATTTTAACACATCACACATATGCGGATAATTTGAAACGATGTATTTCGCCTCAAAACTTGATCAATTTCGTTTTTGTACTATTAATTTTCAATAAATATAGAACTGCAGAACATCTACTGCTAAATATTAACATCATCGGATGCCGGTTAGGTGATCCAGAGGTTAAGCATTCGCGCATAAAACCTAAGGTCCTAGTCTGGAGTCTTGCGACGAGTAGCAGCAGTCTTGGGTGTGCACTGGTTGATGAGTCCTATACTAACTAAGATGAAACGGCCGTCCAGTGCTTCCAGGTTTCTAACGTTGAACTAACAATGATTCATTCATGATTTCAATATGAAACAACAATCTTCCTGATACTATTCGAGGTAAAAAAAGTAATCAACATTTTTATTCATCAAAGAAAGACAATCGATTCATTGAATGAATGAGAAAATTGGCTTGCATATCATTTCACAAAAACTATGAACAAATTTCTGTTTTTATCGATCAATTATGAAATTTTGATAGAACAATGTTGAGATGTAGTTGACAGCTTTCAAAACATTGTATGGAAATAGCGAAGGACGAATTCTGAGGTTTATGAGAAGCCTTTGACGATTGGTAAATTCAAACCTCTCTGATATGTACAGAAACCATTTGTTGTGACCTTGAATTTACCTTGATAATCTTTGAACCATTTCCTATTTATATTCTATACGATGTTAATTTTCTCTCTCCATCCCATTAATTTTTACAATTATCACCTTATGAGATTGTCTGAACTTTTACTGAATTGACCTTTTATTAATATTTTCATATAAAATGCTTGCTTAGACAAGCGCATGTATGACCAGACTGTTCGAAATGTATGGCGCGCAAATTACATTAGAACATTTTTTTCAGACCAACTACGCTGTCTCAAATTTATATAAAAGGGATTAATCGTTTTAATAAATTAAACTGAAATTGCATATATTTTTAAACCTCTTAATCCTCCTTCCTAAATTCCTTTAATTGTTTATATCTTTCTTGATTTCAACATTCACATTCACATGATTAGCTAATCAGTTTTTTGACTGCACTGCTCGTGTTATTTATATATATTCACACTACGTTTGTCTTGTTTGTTGTGACGAATTTACTCTACCATGGTATTTTACTCACATGATTTATTGTACTATATATTATATCGATTACAACTTGACATCTTTCATTTTGAATTGTGTTGACCTTTATTAAATAACCTTGTTAATCGACGGTTAACACAATCTTTTCATCATTTTTTATTTGTGGCCTTAGTAACAAGAACGCAATAATGATGTAATGCACATCATTATGGAGATTGTTGAGTTACTTTGATGTCATGACTAGCATTGGAAACATGGAAGCACTGGACGGCCGTTTCGTCCTGGTATGGGACTGATAAGGAGTGTGCAGACACGAATCCTGCTACTCAAGTCCCGATATTTGCGGGATCCCAACCGGCAGTATCCAACAGTGTTCATGTCCAACTTCAATCAATTCCCGCTTAAGTGCGCATATGTGATGAGGAGTCTCCTAATAGAATGGAACCGTGGTTCATGATTTCGATGAAATTCAACAGTTTCCACAACGGTATGCAACAACAATATACATGATAACTTACTTTTACATTAATTCGACCATTGAATGTTTCCATATCACCAAGTATTGCATGTAATAAACTGGATTTACCAGAACCTACACTACCCATGATAGTTGTTAATTGACCTTCAGGGAATTGAATAGAAATACTGAAATAGAAACATAAAATACATACATATATATAAGTTATCTTTCTGAAAGAGATGGATATAGACCGTAAGCAATGAGATTATAGTGAAAACTGAGGATAATGACATCAGTGTTAAACAGCTATTACGCGGTTATGCACTGATACAATAATCATATAATAATTATTTTACAAGTCATTTCCAATTCCGGATATGTCTGCTTGTCAGTGTTGATATACATTCTATGATTTGAAACTAGAATTGCTTGCTTTCAACACAAATACACTGTTCAATATGCCATTTACCCGTATTAATTAATGAGGCAACAACTCCACCTTGAACCCTCCTCCTTGGGTTACTGCCAATCTCGAGTCCGAATAAAGGAGAAGGGTTGTTTATGGGAGGGGGACGGGTTAGCAACCAGATCTCATAGAAAGTCAGCTTGGTAAAAAAAACTCCAACCAGAACAATAAACATGAGGCAAAGATACACATTTTACTGATCATCAGAATTAAATTTATTCAGTTCGTTTAGTTTATAGCTATCCATTCAAGGATGATACATTGTTATAGTCTCTATAAGTACAAATATATTTTATTTATATTCAACTTGATCAGTCAGTCAGTCAGTTAAAACGTTGAACTTCACACATAAGTACATCAGTTCAGGTTGCCATACTGCATTAGCACAGAGAGACACCACTGTCAATTCTAATGCCATAGTAGAAAAGATATTAGAAGAATGTGCGGTTATGGAGAATATTAAGGATCTAAGATATTGCTCAAGAAGTTCAGTTCAGTGGAGATAACTTTAGAAAGAGAAAGAGAGAGAGATAATGATAAAGGTCATCTGTTTGCCTTTAGAGTACCATTAATCATTGAAACAAAAATCAATTAATCAATTCATTTAAAAATAGATGAGTTTTGATGAAGCATTAATGATTTTATTTTACTTATTATAAATTAACTTAATAGAGGATTGTGTGAATCAAGTTAATAGAATAAAATATTTTTCTTTAAAAATAGACAAAGATTCTCATAGAAAATTTAATGTATACTGAGAACAAACGCAACATACTTTGAAAAGAAAAAAAAGGACGCATTTTAAAAGATAAAACAGATAAGCTTGATTAGTAGCTAATATGTACCTAAATATTTATGTGCCATAAAAATTATTGAAATGGCTGATGATTTTCTCAAAAATTAATCTTCGTCCCGTCAGGATGGTGGAGCTGGTCTGCAATAATTGGTTTGGAATGAGGGCCTTCCAACTTCTCTATATGGATCCTCCATACTTAGCGATATGGTTGAAGTACCAGATATTCGCCTTCCATTCCTTCACTTTCGTGAACAACACTCTTGCTTCACAAGAAGACAGTGAGAAGAACTTTCCTGAAAATGGCTTAAACCTGCGGACATGTGAGAACATTGCCAGAGGGAGAGCAAACTCTTCTCAATGTCGGTCATAACAGGACATTTGAGAGCTGATTTAGTTCATGAATAATATGAAGCTTCAGAATAATACTTAAATGAATACTGGTTATAAATGGGATTGAAAACTAGATGCTGACTATTGCGGTATCACGTGCTCACTACTGACTTAAGTCGTGAGGAAATTCTTAAGGTTCTAATGAGAAGCTGTGACCAGTGGAGTTCAACCGTGTAGGATATGAGGCAGTTGCTGACCGAAGAGAAAGGATGAAGGTCACGTAATGTCGTAGATTCATTGACGTTATACGCTAACACTAATGGATGCCGAATCAGCGGTCAAGAGGTCAAGTGTTCGCGTATGATATAGAGAGTCTTGGGCTCGAGTCCCACACGCGAGGTCGTGAATGCGCCTGGCTGATGAATGCTATAGAAGGACGAAATAGCCATGCGGTGCCTCCAGGTTTCTAATAGTGTTCTAACATTGATCGGTTCGTGATTTCAGTGAATGCCAACAATCTCTACAACCCTACATTGATAATAAAGTTTGTCATTCAAATAAGTGATTTATAACACATTGCGATGAATAAAACATTCCAATTAATCAGTATATTTGAACGAGATAATCCTTAAATGTTTGACCTACTTTAATTAGAATGAAATAAAAAATATTGAATTACATTTATTTAGAGAAAAATATATCAATATTCAGACACTGAACACATAGTTTATGAGAACAAAAAGACTAGACAGAAGAGTATACATTCCACTGTGAAATTGATTAATATACTAATATTTTTCAATTTATAAACAAAATAACATTAGAGCAGAATTTTGGCAAACATCAATCAATGTAAATCAACACAACACCTCAAACAACGTATCATTCTATATACATATATCAGTAAAAGCGCTAGTAGTACGATCTGCATCGAAAATGTTATATTATTCGCTCACGTTCTTCATACGAACGTCCCAATGAATATCATATTGTGCTAAGACTGGGCAAAACGCACAGGTTGGTACTGTCTGACATGATGTCACAATAAAAAAGGAAGCTGTAAAAGACTGACATCATCTAGTGGTCCTTCACGGCTCTATGGTTAGGGTCTCCTACAGAGATGATGCAACTCAATGACTTGAAAAATTATCAGACATGAATCAGAATATAAGCCTGCTGCAAAATTTCTGTTAGTTTTCTCATATAAGTGAGAGAGTAACTTCTTTAACTGAAAGAATTCTTTCAGATTGCATTTTCTTCCCTGAAATGAATTGTTTCTTCCACTAGCATTATTACACGATTATTTCACTCTTATATAGGGCGTTCGCGCACAATACCGAAGGTCCTGGGTTCGAATCCTGCGAGGAGCAGGAGTCGTGGATGCGCACTGCTGATGAGTCCCATACCGAGACGGAACGGCCGTCCAGTGCTTCCAGGTTTCTAATGGTGGTCTAACACTGATCGATTCATGGTTACAAATAAAATCTTATACACGAATTTTTTATTATACTCACTAATCTTTCTGTATTTTGTAGTAGTGAGTGATTTCACTTTTATGAAGAAATCACAACTAGTGAAATAAAATACCGACATTTATTAAAATAACCAATTGTACCAGTGAATGTTTTATAACGAACATTTTGTTGATTCGCACATTTTGCAAACGTACTTTCCATCTGATCAGTTTTCATCTTGCTTCTGATGCTCATTTCTCTGGCACACATCGGTATTCTTTGAATACCACAAAATCACCAGCAGTTAAACATATTTTTTCTTCATCTGGACTATCCCTTCTTATTCTCTTCTAATACGAGACATGGGATAATGCTTGAGACCCAAACGTAATTGGTTTGGAGACGTGTTCATCATAGTCTTTCGACTTGGACATCTTCTGCATTGGTGAGCCCACCCGATAATTACTTCAGAACCTTATTTTTATTGTGTGGCATATATATATA